TCAAGGGAAGGATAAGGTAAAAAGGCAGGCCTTGGCTGATTAAAACAAAACACACAAACTCTGAGCAATACAATTACCAATCACAGTTCTTACGGGCTCATGTTGACCAATTCCTAACAGAGAGTTGATAGGATTCAGAATGCAGATGAAATTTTTTTAAGCTATCGCCAATGTAAAAACGTCTTTTGCTTGACTTGTTTGCAATGTGGGTTTTGTTTATCTTGCTTTCTAAAGGTGGGGTGGGGAGAAGGAGAGAAGACTGATCTTTGTTTGAAAATAAAATTTAATTTTGAAAAATTTAAGAAATAAAAATCAGGGTCAGTAGCAGAATGTATGGGCTGGAATCTACCTAGATATGACTTTGCTTCAGTTCCCTTTCTATAAAATGAAAGGACTGGGCTAGATTATTTCTAAGGTCCCTTTTAATTCTGATGTTCTATAAATCATTTAACTATTTCAATTCAATAATCAATCAACAAACATTTATTAAGTGTATATATATACATATATATATATATATATATGCCAGGCACAGGGCAATGCACTGAGATGAATACAGAAAGTGAACATCACTTACCTTAAGGAGCTTATATTTTAATGGAGAATACAACCAGTTTACATATAAATATATAAATAACATATATAAAATGAAATAAAATATGGTTATATGAGGGAGTTGGATAGAGAAAGGCTTCGTGTATAATGTGGAATTTGAGCTAATTCTTGAAAGAAACCTGGACCCTAAAAGGTGAGAAGGGAGTGCATTCCAGGTATGGAGAATGAACAATGCCAAGAGATGGGAAATACAGTGTCCTGTATGCCAAAGTGGCTGAATTACAAACTGGAAAGGTAAGAATGGACAAGGTTATAAAAGGATTTAAAAGTCAAACAGGAATTTGATTCTACAGACAAGAAAGAGCTACTGGAGTCAACTGAGGACAAGAGCGATCAGACCTTCACTTTTGGAAAATTACTTTGGCTGCCCTGTGGAGGATGGATTGGAGAGAGAGATTTGAAGCCCAGTTAGATTAATGTAATAGTACATATAAAAGGAGATGAGGGCCAGAATTAGGATGGTACCTGTAAGTGAAGAGAAGGGGACTTTTAAAGATGTTGTGGAGATACAAACAACAAGATTTGGGGCAAGGGATTGGATGTGTGATATGAGACAAGAGTTGAGGATTACACGAGGATTTTGAACCTCAGCAAGTAGTAGATGATGATGAGCTAGGCAGAAGCAGAGAAGCAGATTTTTGGGAAAAGCTGAATTTTCTTTATAAATATTTTAAATTAAATTTTAAGATATTTGTTTAAAAATATTTTGATCTGCTTTAAGATTTACTTCTCACCCTTTCCGTTCTACCACTTTCCTCCTCCTCCAACTGAGAACACAAGAAAAACAAAACTCATTACAAACTCCATGGTTAATCAAATTTCTACATTGGCCATATTTAAAAATTTTGTTGCACTCTGAGTCCTTAACCTCTGTCAGGTAGGTAGCATGTTTTATCATTAGTCCTCTGGAATCCTGGTTGGTCAACACACTGATAACATTTCAGTACAATAGGATTTCATCACATTTATATAATTTTCAGGGAGCTTGTTGCTTGAGGAAGGTTTTATACCTTTTGTGCCAAGCTATTAATTCCCCTTTCAATTCTTTCTCCCACAGCTCTCATTTATTTTCCAATTTTTTCCTCAAGTGCTCTCATTCCATTTATAAAAAACATTTTAAACCATTTTTTTTACTCTTCCTTAACTTCTTCTAGGAATTCTAAGTATGTACCTAAGCTGTGTTTGAGTCATTCTCTTCTGTGTCTTGAACTTCCCACCATAATAACAGCTTGGTGGTGTGATTTTTTTTTTTTTGCTCATTCTTGATGTCAAGGCTGGGTTCTGAGGTACTTCTGGATGGCAGACCTGGCCTGGTTCTGTTGCTTTTTTTTTTGGCTATAGAGTGTTGTGTTATTCCAGGATCGCAGGGACAGGCTGGGGACCTGCAAGCTTTCAGGGTTCCCAAAGTGGCCTGATCCAGGGCAAATTCTGATTCCTGGCCACTCTAGTCTAAGCCCTCCAAGTTCCTGCCCTGGATTTGGCCTTAAGTCCAAACAGCAGACTGTTCCTGGACTCCACTGCTATCAGCCAGTTCTACTGGTTCAGAGTTGAAAAATTATGGGCTCCCCTTTGGTGTGAGTTTTCTGCCCTGGTTACTCCTCTGCACACTAGACTAGGCGCTGCAAATAAGACCCTGCTCTGAGCTTGAGGTGTGAGCCAGACCACTGCTGCTTGCCAGCTTCTGAACTTCCTTTCTTCTCCATACAGCGCAGGGTCTTCTTCCCCAGGGATGCCACTCTCCTGCACAGGTCCCATTCTCAGTCTGCCCACCCTTGATTTGTGATTCAGAACTGAGCAGCAGGCAACAAAGCTTCTAACTCGTACATGTTCTGCTGCAGTGCCTCCCTCAGTATAGGGTTGGGATCTCCTCTAGGCTGGATGCACAGCTTCTCCTTAGACACTGGAGTGCTCCACAGGCCCCTGACTAGACTTGATCTCCCTATCTGTCTCTATATCTGGAGATAAGCTAAACAAATGACTCACTGACTTTTTCTAGATTTCCTCATCAAGATTCAGTCTCTGTCTGGAGTCTGTAGAGGGAAGCCTAACACACTGCTTCCTGTCACTCTACCATCATGGCTCCCACACTGATACCTGCGGCAGATGGGATATTCAGATGGAAGTGTCTTTCTGGCAGTTTGTTATGGGCAACTGGAGCTAAGGATAAAGACTAGGGCTAGATACATAGATTTGGGAGTCATTGGCACAGAGATGAGAGACCTGATGGAAGATGATGATCACCAAGTGAGGGAGTACATCTAAAGCAAAGAAGTAACCCTACAGATCCCTGGTACACACCCAACAGTTAGGGAGTGTGACATGGATGACAAATTATCAAAGGAGACTCAGGATTGGCTAGAGAGGGAAGTGAACCTGGAGAGAGTAGTGTTAACAAAAACACAAAGATGAGTACAAAAAGAACGCAGTCAACAATCTCAAATGTTGCAGAGATCATGGAGACTGAGGACTGAGAAAAAGTCAAGAGACAATGGACAATTTTGGAGAGAGTGGTCTCAGGTAAGTGATGGCATTGGAAGTCAGACTGCATGGGTTTAAGAGGAGACTGAGGAGATAAAGTGGAGTCACCAGACGGGATGACAGTTAGCACGGATGGTGGAATCTAAGAAAGACTTAGGTGTGTTCGTAAACAGCAGGAAAAAAACAAACTTTAAAAAAGGAGGCAGCTAGGTGGCACCATGAATAGAGCACTGGCCCTGGAGTCAGGAGGACCTGAGTTCAAATCTGACCTCAGATACATAACACTCACTAGCTGTGTGACCCTGGGCAAGTCACTTAACCCCAATGCCTAGCAAAAAAAAAAAAGGCAGGAGAGAAAACCAGTATATAGGTAGAGACCGAAGATTAGAGAAAGGATGACAGTGGGAGGCATCTGCATGAAAGTGGGGTGAGACCATGGATTCTTGGATAAGTCTCTTTATCAGAGACTACCAGATGGAGTTAAACATCTGGAACAGCCTAAGGAGGAATGGGAGAGAGAATTAATTTTGTTATTGTTCAGTTGTGTCTGACACTATGTAACCTCACAGGCTTTGTCCACAGGATTTTCTTGGAAAAGATAATAGAGTAGTTTGCATTTCCTTCCCCAATGTGTCCCCATTTTACAGATGAGGAACTAAGAGGAAGAGGGATTAAGTAACTTGTCCAGGGTCACATACCTAGTGTCAGAGACAGAATATGAACTCAGATTTCCTGACTCTAGGGTTAGTACTCCATCCTTGGCATCACCTAACAGCCCAGAGAATCAATTGGGGAGGGGACAGCTAGGTGGCGCATGGGATAGAGCACTGGCCCTGAATTCAAATCAGGCCTCAGATACTTGACACGTCCTAGCCCTGTGACCCTGGTCAAGTCACTTAACCCCACTGCCTAGCCAAAAAAAGAAAAGAAAAGAAAAAGAGAATCAATTAGGGAGGAATAAAAGAACTGTTGGGTAAATCATTTCTCTATTTCAGAGTTTCCTCAACTTTAAAATGAGGGTTGGTTAAATTACTGAAGTACAAACCAGCTTTAACTCCGTGATCCTATCACTCCAAAAGAATGTAAACTTGAGGACAGAAAGTTTCCTTTAAAAAAATTTTTTGTTCCCCCAGGGTCTTGCACATAGGGAAGATTAAAGAACTTCTCAAGGGAAATCACTTACTCACAAGTTTCCTACCTTTAAAATGAGAGAGCGTTGATTAGATTTAGGGTACAGACCAGCTTTAACTCCAAGATCCAATCATCCCAGTAGACTTGCAAGCTTGAGGGCACTGACGTCACTGAGAATTTAGGGGAGTAACATAGAAATTAAGGGAATAACAGAGCTGTCTATGAATCATAAGACACTGGTATCTGGATCAGCTTGATGAATTTGGATAGCACTAACCTCTAAGGAGAAGCAAAGCTCAGTACTGGTATCACTGGTGAATCTGTAAGTAGCAAGAGGGTACTGAAGGGGGCTCAAAGGGATACCCAGACTCCCATCTCCTATTTGTCCTGTTGGGTTTTGTTTGTTTTACCAACTAGGAAACAGCCGGAGTGGCTATAACTACTGTAGCTATAACTTTCGTTAAAGGTCATAACGCAAAACTGATAAAAAAGCAAAAGGCCAAACACTCTGCAGGAATTCCGTGCAAAGTAGGCCTTGCACCTGTTCCTCCTTCTGCGAACCTGCCTCCTCTCTCTCAAGCCCAAATGCAAAATAAGTTCGGGAATAAAAGCTAGAAAGTAACTCTTGATACCCTTTAGGATTCCCTCTCTCTGGGAAACTGAGGCCTACAGCCGGAGAAATAACTCACCCAAGATTCGAACCCCCGTCTCCAGATTCCAAAACCAGCCCCAGCCACCCCGCCGTCGCGCATGCGTGCGTGCCCCCTCCCGCTTACTCGGTGATGCGCTTGGCCAGCTCGGTGCAGGCAGCGGTGGAGTTGGCCGAGAAGACCCGGTATCCCGTACGGGCGGCGTTCATGGTGGGGAAGGCGGCGGGTCGGGCTCGAAGGGCGCGAAAGGTCGAGGATACGGACAGCGGGGGCAGCAGCAGCAGCTTCCTGGGCATCGTCCGGCCCAGCGCAGGCAGCGCGGGGAGGCGGGAAGAGCTACTGAGGCCGAGGTCGCGGCTGCATCCGCCAGGGGAGAAAACGCGGCGCGGGGGAAGGGGCGAGGTCCGGAACAGGAAGGGAGGAGTCCGGGAGGGTCTCCGAACCCCCAGCAGTCTCGGACCTCCCCCGCAGCCCTCCTGTGAACGCCCGCCCCGCGTGCTCCAACTACTGGGAAGGAGCTAGGCCCTGCCCCCTCGTAGAATCCGAGAGGCGAGGGCTAGAGCGTCGTTCCCCCTCGCCTCAGTCTCCTCCTCCGGCGCTCCCTCCGAGGCGGTTTTTCTATGCAAAGTGGCAAGGGACTCATCGTTTCCACTTCCGGCCACCAGGGGGATTCTTTCCTTCTCGCAGCCTCGGGCAGCGCCGTGCTGGGCGGTCCCATGTGTAACGCTTCTGCCCCGATCCAAGATGGCTGATGCCGAGCGCCACTGTATTTTAAAAACTGCAGTAGCGGAGTTCCAAAACGATAAAAGCTCTTAAGAGTCTAGCTTGAGACACTACTTGTTTAGAGAGAACTGGAGGGAGAGAGTAGATCCAGGAACTTTCTTCAAGACAGGGCATCTACGGTTAACATCTACAGTATTCCCCGCCGTAGCCTTAGAACGCTATGGTTCTTAGTGCATACGCGTTCCTGCGGTGGAGGGGGCGGGAAGGGGTAAGTCGATTGGCTGAGCAGCCTGTCGTTCACGCTGAACCTGCGGTAATAGACAAAAGTCCGTTGGGAAGGCTGGACGCTCCCATCCTTGACTGATAACATGAGAGTGTTATTATATGTGTAGTCATAGGAACATAGAGTTACAAGGGACCTTAGAGCAGAGGTATGCTGGTAAATGTTTAACATCCGGCTGGGAGAAGGGAGGAAATGTACGCAGGACACACTTTTAAATTTAATCTGCAGCGTTAGTATTTCCCCCATCCAGTCAACAAAACAATGAAACACGCCCTGATTTATAGGATTTCCAAAGTATAAATGCTCACAGTGGAAATTTAACATTTGGCTCCACTTTGTGCTGACTCCAGCATACCTCTGCAGTTGTCATGGAGACCAAACCTCCCCAGCCCCCCTCCCCCCATTTAATAGATGAGGAAACCAGGGCCGCAGGAGGTTAAGTGGTCTGCAAAAGGGCACAAAAGTGTCTGAGTACGATTTGACTCCAGGTGACATAAGTCCTTGGCCCTTTCCAACACAACCCCTTGCCGTGGTTTTCTACTCCTTTAAAGCCAATCCAAGAGTTCCCGGGGGGTGACGGCAGCTGTTCTTTCAAAAGCATTCTAAAAACTTCGGGGTTAAAAACCCTTGAGATTTAGAAACTGATTTCATCATGACAGCTAAATATTGTCCCAACTCCACAGATTAGGAAACTGACACAGAGAACTAAAGTGATTTGCCTGAGGTCACACAGCAATCTATATTGGAGCATAAAATTGCATCCATGTCTTCTGACTCTAAATCCATTGCACTTTTTTGTCCTGCTTATCTTTCATGCCTGGAATACACTTCTCTCCTAACCTGCAACTCCATTGTTGGGAAGGAAACCTTTCTCAACCCCTCTTAACTCTAGTGCCTCCTTCTCTTCTTTATTTCCTATGTAGCTTGTATATAGCTTGTTTGTACACATTTGTTTGTTACCTCCTTCATTAGATTGAGTTCTTTGAGGGTAGGGACTGTCTTTTGCCTCTTTTGTGCCAGCACACTACCTGAAACATAGTAGGCACTTAATAAATGTTGATTGATTGACAGACTCCAACTTTTAGAATTCCTGGTTTCCTTCAAAGCTCAGTTTAAGGGGCAGCTAGGTGAAACAGTAGATAGAGCACCAGTCCTGGAGTCAGGAGGAACTGAGTTCCAATATGATCTCAGACCAGACATTTAATACTTAGTAGCTCTGTGACCCTGGTTAAGTCACTTAACTCTAATTCCCTTGAGAGAAAAAAAAAAAACAAAACATCAGCTTAAGTGCCATCTTCTGCTTGGAGCCTTTTCTGACCTCCACAGCTGCTAGGGCACCCCCCCCCAAAAAAAAACTACTTTGTATTCATTTTGAATGTATTCTGTTCTTTAAGGTGATGGATTAGAGGCTACCCAACTGAACTCTCTCAACATTCTACTCTGAACAACTTTAACACCCCGAATCAAATTTTGGAGTGTCAGAGACAACAAAAGGTCAGAGTGAGACATTTTTCAGCCTAAGAAAGTTTAGGTCAGGTGGACAAGTTTGTCACCTGAGGTGGAAGCCTGTCCAGACACTACTTTCCCCCTCCTTCCCCCCCACAAAGCTGCAGCAACAATAGTCACAGCAAGAACGGTAAGGGGGTCATACAACTGGTCAGACAGAGATTACAGGGGCCTCTTTGCTGGCGCTGACAACTCTTGCCCATATGCAATTTTGGATCAAAGTTCCAGGGTGGAGAAGGGCTTTGGGAGCAGGGGCCCTGATTGTGGTTCCAAGGCAAGAGAGTTCTGCGGCTTGTGGCTGAAGGGTAGCATGAGCCCTTCCTGGATAAAGACTAGGTTCAGACCAGGAGAGCTGTGACCACAGCTCTCACAAGATAACACCATCTTAGAAGCACCAAAAACTTTCAGACACTCAGAACTAGCTCTGAAAACAGCAACTCAAAAATGCCTGATGCTTGAGACAATGTCTCCCTGCCTCCAAGTCAAAGCCCAACTTTAACATAAAGTTCAAAGTCAAGAAATAGACTGGAAAAATGAACAAATAACAACAAAAAAGAATTTGACCATAAAAGGCTACTATGGTGGCAAGTAAGAAAAGAACATAAACTCAGAAGAAGATAACAATGTGAAAATAGCTACAAACAAAGCCTCAAAGAAAAATGCTAATTGGACCTAAGTCCAAGAGTTAAAGAAAGAGATGAGTGGTAGACAAAAAAATTTGGAAAAGAAATGAGAGTAATGTGAATGAAAAGAAAATTAACAGCTTGGTAAAAGAGGCACACAAAAAATACTAAAGAAAATAACACTTTAAAAGACAGAATTGGCCTAATGGTAAAAGAGGTACAAAAATTCACTGAAGAAAAGAACTTTAAAAGCAGAATTGGCCAAATGGAAAAAGAGGTACAAAATCTCACAGAAGAAAATAATTCCTTAAAAATTAGAATTGGGCAAGTGGAAGCTAATTACTCCACAAGACATCAAGAAACAATAAAACTCTTGGGGAGGGAGGAGGGGAGAGAAGGAAGAAAATTGAAAACTCAAACTTATGGAAGTGAATGTTGAAAATGAAAAATAAATTAGAAATAAAAGGTGAGAAAAAACAGAAAAGAAACAAAAAGAATAAATAATAGAAGAAAATGTGAATATATTCTGCATATATTCATGTGTGTAGTTGTTGGTTCACACACACTTAAGCTCCTTCAAGGCAGTTCACTTCTGTATTTGTACTGTCAGGGCTTAGCATTGTTAGTATTAGCATATAGTTGGTGCTCAATGTGTGTTTCTTTACTATTAACTAAATGCTTTCTCATTCATTCATTACCCACCCTCTTCGACTTTGCCACTTTTTCTGAATAAATACCTAAAACCCAGTTCCCTCTTTCTTCCTCATCTTTATGTTCTCTGCACTCCAAAGAACAATAGCATAGTTTATTTCCTAAATGGGTTTATTTAAAAGATGATACAAATTAATAAATAATATAACAAGGTATGAGAAATAGAAGTGCCATGTTCAGTCCATTCTAGCTCCACTCTAGATAAATATGTTAATGTTTTTGTATTCTTTCTTTCCATTCCCACAGTAACTACATTAGTTTAGATCCTCATCTTTCCTCTTGACTATTGTTATAATTTCCTAGCCAGTCTTCTATTTCCCTTCCAATCTATTCTTTAGACTCCAACATAAATAATCATAGATTTAGATCTGGAAAGGATCTTAAAGGTAATCTAGTCCAACTCTCTCATTTACATATGAAGAAATAGGCCTGAAGAGTTGTAGTGACTTGCCCAAAATCACACAATAAGTGTCAGAAGCAGGCTTGAACCCAGGTCATTTGATTCCATTTCAATTCAACAAATAGTAAGGGCCTCCTATATGAACTTACCAAAAACCTTCAGTGGTTTATCTTTGCCTACCCATTCAAGTATAAAGTCTTGAGCCTGAGATTCAAGGCCTTCAGCAATCTGACTTCATATTCTTGGCTCTTCTCACTCCTTTCCCTATTCTTCCTTTAAATTGAACTACTATCCCTTCCTGGTTTTTAATCTTGGGTTGGTTGTTTGTTTTCATCCCTGCCTTTGCTTGAATGGAATTTCTCCCATTCCCCTATCAGTATGGAAGTCTCTCTTTCAAAGCCTAATTTAGATGACAGATCCTTCAGAAATTTCCCCAAAATACCTTCACTACTCTGATAAAGATGGAGTTTGGACCTCAAAAAGGCAAAACCCTGGACTTTCCCACATGGCTAAATCTCCGGCATTTGCCTGAGGCTATAATCCTATCAACTGGCCTTTCCTTATCCCCCATGCCCAATCTACCTCCAGATGGCCCCAGGCCACTTTCAACCCTTAATCCTCTCTAGACTCCATTCTCCCTTGGATCCCTAGATCTCTCCCACAGATTTTATATAAGGTCCATCTTGTCTCCATTAAGGTGCTGAGATTCTTAAGATCTGGCCCCCTTGCATTAGCTATACAAATACTTAGATTCCTTAAGAGTCTGTCCAATATGATGGATGTTCTAATAAACCTTGCCTTTGGCTGAAAGAAGGCTTGGGTTGAATTCATTTGGGCAGAACCTGTGTGTTGTGATTTCAGGGTCCAGGTGCCCCTAAACCTCTAAACCCAAAACCCCATAACTAAAAGTTAATCTCTTGTCAAATTTTTCATAGCACTTTAAATCTTTCTTTTGTCCTTATTACACCCTCCTGTGTTACACAGATATTTGTATATGTATTGTGACTCAGTACCCCCAAAACTGTGTACTCATGAGGTCTGGGGGCTAGCCCCCAAGTCAACTATACTTTGGCTCATATTATGCTGTTCAGAGTTTACTCTGAGAAAGTCTCCAAATATAACTGTGACTAGTATTCCATATATGTGAGTAAGAGGAGCCCTCAGTTCCCATACAACCACTTAAGGTAACAAATCAACAATTCAAGATACAGGACAGCTTTGAACTACTTA